AGAAACAAGGCAATAGATCGAAGCATTGGTCTTTTTAAATATAAATATAATTTAATTTGTTCAGTTGTGGTTTTGTCATCCTGATCCTACCCAGGCTTTGTAATTCATGGTTGGTTGACATTTGAAAAGTAATCTTCAGTCAGACTGTTGGCTAGAAAACCGTAGGCATTTGGTTCAGCCTCTATAAAACAAATCAGCATGTTTTCCTGCCTAATTCCAGCTATAACTACAGTTTAATTAAAGTGCATCACTTGAGCATATAATGCTACCTTACACCGAGTTCAGCCATTGTCCCATCTCAGTTCTGTCTACTGCAGCTGCAATGGTGCTTCAAGGTCTCAAGAAGAGGTCCTGCTCCTGGTGAACCTTTTAACAGTTGTTGCCAGGATGAACCTGGAACTTTTTGCATGCGTGGGCTCTGCAACTGAGTTCTGCTGCAAGCTCTGGTTGAAACCAACCCGGATCCCTGATAAACCAAAGATTAGGGGCTAAACAAGACAAAATGGAGATGTTGTTGTTGTTTAGTCATTTAGTTGTGTGCGACTCTTCGTGACCCCGTGGACCAAAGCACGCCAGGCACTCCCGTCTTCCACTGCCTCCCGCAGTTTGGTCAGACTCATGCTGGTAGCTTTGAGAACACTGTCCAACCATCTCGTCCTCTGTCGTCCCCTTCTCCTTGTGCCCTCCATCTTTCCCAACATCAGGGTCTTCTCCAGGGAGTCTTCTCTTCTCATGAGGTGGCCACAGTATTGGAGCCTCAGCTTCAGGATCTGTCCTTCCAGTGAGCACTCAGAGCTGATTTCCTTCAGAATGGATAGGATTGATCTTCTTGCAGTCCATGGGACTCTCAAGAGTCTCCTCCAGCACCATAATTCAAAAGCATCAATTCTTCAAAATGGAGATAGCCATTTTTAAAATTCATAAGTCTACCGCATTTACATAAAATGGGATGGAGAGTCTAATTCTTTAACAATCAATGTAAGTGTGAGGGCAAGTGGAGATGATATCTCTTTGTTGCCCGATCACACCAAGTTTCATTATTTCTGCAACCTGCAATACTTCTAGTACTGGAACTGGGGGAGAGAGGCTTTCATTTAGCACGCTTGCTGGAAAGGAAAATGCCTGAAGTAGCATTGTGGAAAGGTAAATCAAAAAGGGAAGAGGGCAAAGTTCTCCACACCCACCTACATTTTCATGTAAAAAATTAAACCCCATTGCCTGTTTTATATGTGATGCATGATGACAGATCCTCCAAGTGTCCCAGTTTTCCAGGGACATTTACAGAACTGTCCCAGTTTCAGATTTTATCTTAGGATGTCCTGCTTTTCCTTACGACGTCCCTCTTTTCATCAGAGAAATCTTGAACGGTATGGAGTTATGCGAGCCCCGAGTCAAGCAGATAACCAACTATACATCCTTTAGAAGACATCTGAAGGCAACTCTGTATAGGGAAGTTTTTTTATTGTTTAATATTTTATTATGTTTTTATGTATGTTGGAAGCTGCCCAGAATGACTGGGGCACCCAAATCAGATGGATGGGGTAAAAATAATAAAATTTATTGTTATTGTTATTACTATTGTTGTTGATGTTGTTGTTATTATTATTATTATTGTCATCCGTATTTTCATGGGAGAGATGTTGGAGGTTAGGTGATGAACAAAATGGCTTCAATCAATGGCTTTGGCCTTGAAACCATATCTGGCTTGGCTTTGGAAAACACAGTTACAAGGGAAGATAGTTTATGTTAACTGTGGTTAATGCTGAGGAGGAAAGGGGAGAAATAATTTGAGAGAGGAAAGACGATATGGGGAAGGAGCATGTATTCCTAAGGCTGTATCCAAATTTGCAAATCACGGTTTGCAGGAAGCTAGCATGACATTTGGCCTAGCTTTAAGAGCAAGAGTTCTCTGCATTTAGGACTTTTGCTTTGCTCCAAAGAATGAGCACAGCAACTGAGCTGAAGATTGTACATCATGCTTGCAATCTAGAGCTAGTAAGATCTAATTTTAGTCCTGCTATTGTTTCTTCATTATTTATAAGGCTAGTGCAATGAGGAACAATCTAAAGGAAAATATATGAAGTGGAAATTTTGCTAGGAATGGCTTTATGCAATCAGTAGCTTGAGGGAAGTAGAACACAGAGGAGAAGGTGATGTTGGTATCCTTACAAAGCGGGACTGATTGTTAACTGGAATTGCAAGCCTCAGCTCATTTTATGAGTTGATAATTAATGTGGATATAGATATCCGCCTGGCTGGAGGGAGCCAGCAGCACTTCAGATGCCGTGGTTGTCCTGATTCACCCCACTGCTCCTTGGCTAGGAGGTAGAGATTGCTCTGCCTATCAACAAAAGCTCCTGCTCATTGTTAAATGGAAGGCTTTGTTTCTCATTCCCTGTAATAATAACACACTGGTGTTCAAGGGAAAGTAAAATATGGGACTACATGTAATTGGCGGAAATGACTGGCAGAATCCGAGACCAGGGAGAAGAGTCGGTGGAAGAAGATTGGAAGAAATTTAAAGACTATTTACAGAAATACTGCAAAATTAATGAATGTTAGAATGATGTCAGAATGAAGTTAAGTGGTTTTAGCACCAATGTTATAAAGGAGTATGTAAAAATGGATTGTTAACAGGTGAGAATCTAAAGTTACAATATATTAAGTTAAAGGATTAGGATAAAAACAAAGAGGGAAAGGATTTGCTGAATTAACTAACTGAACTGGAATACAAAAAAGAGAGGTGTGAGGAGGTCAGGGAAACAAGTAAATGAAGACAAGACATGGAAAGATTGATTTGTTTTTAAGTGTTTTTATTTTTCTGTATTTTTTCTTTTCTTTTTTTGGTATTTTTTCTTTTCTTTTTTTTCTTTTTCTTATTTTTGTAACCTTTTTTGAAACTTTAATAAATATCATTTAAAAAACAAAAAAACAAGGGAAAGTAAAATATGTCCTTTAAGTATATCCTTAAATTGTTGTTACCCACTCTGGGACCTGCTGCTAAAGGGCAGATGATGATGATGATATCTGCAGGAGAGGTCCTTCATGTGCAAATAGTTGGTGCTCATTGTCAGTTATCCAGGATAGGGTCTTCTCCACGGTGCTGTCATGGCTGTGGAACTCCTCCCTCCTGAGGTATGATTAGCACCATATCTTATACCTTTAGACCCTAATTCAAATTTTGCCTATTCCCTATTTAGGCAGGCTGTGGACTGCAACTATGATCTTTGCCTAGTGTGGGAGCCAGAGAATTCTGAAGCTGAGCAAGTGAGCTGAGACTTTAAGGAGCTCATTAGGGAGTGATCCATCTGGGAAGGGTCCAGAGAAATCTGAGAGGCTTCTCAGGTTCTCCTCATCCTGGTCATCTGCTAAGATACTGCTCTCCCTAGTAGAGTGGGGCCCTGCGGGAGAGCAGGAGATCAAGGCAGGGCTAGGGATATGGTCAGAGTGGTTGTTGGGGAGGGAGGATAAGGCGACACATTCATGAGGTGGGGGAAACTATTGCAGGCTGACTCTCGACAGAGTCCCCAACCTCCTGCTCAGACGAGGTATCCCAGGGTCTGGGTCAAGTGGGATGCTCCTGCAAACTGGTTGGTATGACTATGTTGTGCTATTGTACATTTGTTGCGTTTTGATGGTTTTATTATTTTTATATAGCTTTATTGTTTTTTGACACAAAGCCAAGGACTGGGGAACTGGGTGGGGTAGAAAAGCCCCAAGTAAATAAATAAACAAACAAACAAACAAACCCAAAACCTTTGCAGCACTAAAGTTTAGCAGGTTAGGATTGCACTGTAAACTGTAAGTGAACCGTACTTCAATCTATGTATTAATATTGAGATTCTGGTAGTAGGCAATTAAAAAGTGAACTGCTCAAAGCATAGGCAATTTTTAAAAATAATAATAATAATCAGCTTAGTACTTTGGTTGACAGCTCTGTTGTTCCCATTGCCTGTACAAACTGTAGTCTTTCCAGCTTTCTAGGGTTGTATTCAGTTGTGTCTTGCTCAGAGCAGACCCAATGAAATGAAATTACCAAACTTAAGCCATTAACTTGAATGGGTCAGTTCTTAGCAGGACTGGCATAGAATACAGTGGTACCTCGGGTTAAGAACTTAATTCGTTCTGGAGGTCCGTTCTTAACCTGAAACTGTTCTTAACCTGAGGTACCACTTTAGCTAATGGGGCCTCCTGCTGCCACTGCACGATTTCTGTTCTTATCCTGAAGCAAAGTTCATAACCCGAGGTACTATTTCTGGGTTAGCGGAGTCTGTAACCTGAAGCGTCTGTAACCTGAAGCATCTGTAACCCGAGGTACCACTGTACTACCCCTGTACTCTTCTGGACCAATTGCATCTAGTGCACTCATGTACATTACAATTGCCGTTTAACTTCCCAATTATTTGGTAGTTCAGTGTAGACATGAGGGCACACTGACATACAAAGAGGAGTCGATATGTGGTAATATGTTGTTGTTTTTACTTTCCAGGGTGTCATGAGCTACTCTGCCCCATCTTTGCTTCTCAAAGGCATACACGCTTGCTTTCAGGTCCAGTGCTGTTTTCCTCTCCCTCTTCATCCTGCACCCCCCATGTGAACTGTCAACCCTCTTTTAATTTTTTTCAACTGCCTTTCGAGTTTTTCCAATTGAAAGTGCGTATGGTGTCTCCCCGCACCCCTTCCAGAAACCAGTAAGGTTTTAAGCAAATAACAACATATTCCACCCGCCCCCGTCATAATGTCACAATAGAAGCCAGCCAGTCATTGCTGTACACAGCTAGCATCTACTGGGAACTCAAAATGTTTAGGTCCACTCAAAATAGGGTGAGTACGGCTTGGCTATTTTAAAGATGTACGTCTATATGCACCTTGTGATACCCTTATTCTGCAGTACCTGACTTAGGCAGGCAACAAGGTAGGTGGTATTTTTCTGTCAACTAAACAAACAGAAAAAGATGAAACGGTGCTGATCAATAATATATTAGTTGCACTGAAATTACCTTCTGGCGTACTTTGGAAGGGGCTTCTCCCAGGGGGCTCTGCTTTGGTCCTGTTCCACTTTCCCCTTTGTTGCTGGCATCTGTGATCCTCTTACTGGAAGAAGCCACATGTTTGACAACCTGATCTTAATGAAGTACAGGCTCGTGGTCAAGCAGTGAAATGTTATACAGCTAAAACAAGTCAGTATTACTTGGATCAGCCAACGGCCTGAATTCTTTCCTCCTTTACATATTTTTAGATCAAGATAAGCCTCAATGTGAATTAAATTATCTGTATTTTGACAACTTAAAATAGAAGGGATTGGGTTGAATTCCCCTCCAGATCTTCCTGCTGAATGACGCTTTATCCAAGCTGTCAGCTAAAATAAGAAAAATGAATTTAAATACCTTTCATGTGATTTTGGTGCTTTGCCAGTTTTTCACTCTTCAGATATTCTAATGATGTCTTCTTTGTATGCTGTTGTGATGAAACATTGATTCTTTCATCTTCTTTTTTTGAGGAATAAAAATATTATTGAGCCTATTGATTTGAGAAGGGATGGAAAATCTAAACATTTTTAGAAAAATTGTAATTATGTTAAGTAACATTATTAATTCATTATTAGAGCTGATGGAACTGAAATTACTTGTTTTCAAATCCGAACTCTTCTTCTTCTTCTTCTTCTTCTTCTTCTTCTTCTTCTTCTTTTCTGATTTCTTTCAGCAGTGCCAAAACATTCCCCACCAGTGTTGGCAATGTTCCCACCACTCTGTGAAAATGTTTGCTTCGATACTTAGTCATTGCTCTCACTTGCCCTAAATGACTTTATCTCATAGCCAGATGTAATTGGCTATGTAGTATTGTGACATCGTCCCCTTTTGTGTGTGATTCCTGACTGGATGAGTTTTGATTATTTAACTCCCATACTGCTTAATATATTAAAAATATCTCTAAGCAGTGTACAAAAAACTGAAGTAACAACAGACAACTTAAACAAAATATTACAAAAATACACAGTTACGTACTGTACAAAAAATGAATACATTCATACAAATATATATCAATTCATTTTCCTTCTTACACACCCTCCCTCTGAGGGTTCCAAACAAACTCTCAGCTCATCACAAAAGACTCACAATGAGAAGAGTCTGTGAAAATAGCGGACATCACTCTAGTCTCTCATTCTAGACATGCTTTTTATGGGCAGGCCCAAGGTTGATGGTATTTCCTCAGGCTGCCCACAACTGTGTCCCATTTGTCTGCAGTCTCCACACCCAGTTGCAGGTACAGCAGGTTTGTTGAGTTTTCCAAGGGGATCCAAAGGATGGAAAAGGGGACCATCACCACTCACAGCACTTTCTTCATGTCGGATGAATCTCATTTCTTTCTTTCTTTTGATAGAGTTACAAGCTTGGTAGATCAAGGGATATAGTGGATATAGTGTATCTTGATTTCAGTGAGATTTTGACAAAGTCCCCCATGATGTTCTTGCAGAGAAGCTAGTAAAATGTGGGCTAGATGAGGTAACTGTTAAGTGGATTTGTGACTGGTTGATTGACAGAACCCAGAGAGTGCTCACTAACAGTTCCTCATCATCCTACAAAAAAGTGACAAGTGGGGTGGATGAAGGAATTGAGGGGATGCTCATCAACTTTACAGATGATGCCAAACTGGAAGAGGTAGCTGATGACACAGAAGACTGAACTGAGATTCAATATGACCTTAACGATGAATGGAAGTGAGAGCTGGACCATATAGAAGGCTGATCGCCTTATTGAGCTGAGATGGGCCAATGGTCTAAGCCATTATAAGGGCAGCTTCCTATGTGTGATGGCCTGGGACTCGGCTTGGACTCGGAACCAGAGGAAACTCAGTCTGCACCAGATCCTTTGCCTCAGGCACCATCTGAACCAAGTCTGGGGCCTGATCCTGAAGAGTCCCAGTCTGCACAGGTTCCCCTGCAACAAACACCAGCTGGGCCGAGTCAGGGGCCTGAGCCTGCCCTGGCTCCAGATGCAGGGATTACCTCGTTGCCTTCAGCTGGGCCATCACTTACAGCTGCTCCACTACCAGCTTGGTTAGGGGAGGCTGAGGCGACCCCTGGGTCTAGTAACCCACCAATGTCTCCCGAGCTGAAGATACTAAGGTCTGAAAGAAGGAGAGACCTGAGTACTCACAGGAGGCGTGCTCGCCTTTGGGCGAAACAGGGAGGTGAGTCGCTGTGAATCAGGATCGGCTACTACCCAGACAAAGATAAAAGGCTGTCAGACCCCGCCCCAAGTTGTGGGAGCAACATTGCTGTATGCTAGATCCTGCCTGAGATCCTGTACCTGTCCTTGCCTGGTTTCCTGCCTTGTGTCCTGCCTTGGCCCTGTCAGACTGACTCCCAGTGGAACCTTCAGATTCTGGACTGGTCCTGGTCCGTGTTTCATGGGTTACCCCTGGACTCAGCACACTATGTTGCCAACAGTCCACCTGGAACGGGCCTTGATGTTGTCTCGGCTTGCTTCCCTTGCGCTCTATTTCATCCCCACAGGGCAGTGGGTATCATTTGACCCTGGGAGGCAATTGAATGAGGCACTATCAAGTCTATAAATGATATCTCAGTGTCTAACAAATAAATAAATAGTAAAGGCAGAAAACATGTTATAGTCTGGCAAGATGTAGGCTTTGAAGCACAGTTCCAGATAGGATCTGGCACCAAATTTCCCTGAAGTTTAGGTGTCCTGATCCAGTTTAAAGTGACTGTAATTAAACCCAACAAAAGACAACAATGCCTTGTACATATGACTCTAATCGCTCACTTCCCTTCTCTCACTTCTTCTCTGCCTTCTGTGTTGTGGCTTTTCTTCTGCTGCAGGGCAGCATTAGCAGGCATTTACTCTCCTAAGACTTTTCAATGAGAGACGGGTGGGCTTTGTGAACTGTAACCTTCCGCAGAAGTTTTAGGTTTGCTCCAGGATATGGAATTTTTTTCAGGGGCTGAAAAGATTAGGGCAAAATAAAGAAGGAACTTCTCAGAACTAGGGAGCGGTGGCCGTTTGTCTTCAAGGACTGGAGTTTATGAGGAGAAAGAGGGCCCAATAAAATAACGAGCATAGTGGATATTCAGAGTTCAGCCTTTATTGATATTCATTAATAAAGGCAGCAATCCTATTCACACATACCTGGAGGTAAGCCCCATTGAACTCAACTGGAGTGACTTACAAGCAAGCATGGATAGGATGGGGCTGAAATAATACCTTGTGTCAAGAATCCTTTGCTTCCGGAAAAATAACAAGATAGGTGCTCATGACAAAGTTAACCCACAGCTTTGATTATTTATCTGTGGAGCACAAAAGCGCACATTTAATTATTAGAAATTCAAATATGCATGTATTGTTTCAACTTCCAAACCACCCTTCATCAGAATAGATCCCAGGGTAGTTTTTTTAAAACCTTATATAAAATTATTATTATTATTATTATTATTATTATTATTATTATTATTATCCCACCCTGCTTGCATGCAAGTAGGAGTTAGGAGGCTGCTCCGATAGGCAGCATGAAGCCTCCCTTCACAGCTTAGTTGCTGGGGTCAGGGAAGGTGGAGGCAGCCCGGAAGCTGCAACTTTGAGCCCCTTCACCACCATCATATGGGGACTTCTGAGCAGCTCCTGAAGCCAGCCAGAGCCAACTGCTCCGGGCTGCTGAGACTGCCGCTACTGCATTTCCCAGGGACATTAGATGAAATCCCGGGGCATTCCGGGGATGGAATTTCTCCAGGGACTTATTTGCAAATCTGGGGACTGTTCCCGAGAAACGGGGACATCTGGTAACCCTAATCTAATCTTGCCCCTTTCTAAAAATGTTTTATTGATGTGCGTTTTTATTTTTGTAAATCTGCCAAAGAAGAGAAATCAAACTAATTTCTTCCAACCCGTGTTAGTTGTGTGTGAGAGACTCAGGCAAGGTGTTCCTCAGAGTTAACACACCGCAAGATGTGTGGGGATGATGAGACAAGACCTGTAATTTATCTGATTCTGGTTCAATTCTTTGATGATGGAGCTTCTTCAGTATTAAGTAGCATTGCTGCCTCCACGAATTTGTCCAGTCCTTTTAAAGCCATCCAACTTGGAGGCCACTGCTTTCTCCAGTGGGAGTGAGTTCCACAGTCAACTAGGCAATGCATAGTTTTATTCTTCAAGACAGCATTTTCCTTGTGGTATGGAGGTCCCTACCACAGCTTTCTTCAAGCTAAGTACAGACATTTGATCTGAGGGTATTGTGAATCGGCCTCCCCATTTTAGGCTGAATTTATTGATCCAAGGCTTTGAGTAGAGAAGGTGATTTCTTTTATATTTTCCCGTCCCACCCCCAGATGCCTCTCAAAGTATTTTTTTATCAATCTCCTGTAAGTTTTCTCTCTGCCATTTTCCTTTCTCATTAACTGTAGTTTATTTTCTGTTTCTTCCACAGTCCCATTCTGACTTCCAACTTCCACTGTCTGGCGGCAGGACCTACATTATTCTCCTAACCATGGATCTGAGTCATTCCTGCACAGAAAATAATCCTAAAGTATTGTTGTTGTTTAGTTGTTTAGTCATGTCCGACTCTTCATGACCCCATGGACCAGAGCACGCCAGGCGCTCCTGTCTTCCACTGCCTTCCGCAGTTTGGTCAGACTCATGCTGGTAGCTTCGAGAACACTGTCCAACCATCTCGTCCTCTGTCGTCCCCTTCTCCTTGTGCCCTCCATCTTTCCCAACATCAGGGTCTTTTCCAGGGAGTCTTCTCTTCTCATGAGGTGGCCAAAGTATTGGAGCCTCAGCTTCACGATCTGTCCTTCCAGTGAGCACTCAGGGCTAATTTCCTTCAGAATGGATAGGTTTGATCCTCTTGCAGTCCATGGGACTCTCAAGAGTCTCTTCCAGCACCATAATTCAAAAGCATCAATTCTTCGGCGATCAGCCTTCTTTATGGCCCAGCTCTCACTTCTATACATCACTACTGGGAAAACCATGGCTTTAACTATACGGACCTTTGTTGGCAAGGTGATGTCTCTGCTTTTTAAGATGCTGTCTAGGTTTGCCATCGCCTTTCTCCAAGGAGCAGGCTTCTTTTAATTTCGTGACTGCTGTCACCATCTGCATTGATCATGGAGCCCAAGAAAGCAAAATCTCTCACTGCCTCCATTTTTCCCCCTTCTGTTTGCCAGGAGGTGATGGGCCCAGTGGCCATGATCTTCATTTTTTTGATGTTGAGCTTCAGACCATATTTTGCGCTCTCCTCTTTCACCCTCATTAAAAGATTCTTTAATTCCTCCTCACTTTCTGCCATCAAGGTTGTACCCTAAAGTATAAGGATGAGTAAAAAAAAAAAAAAGTATAAGGACACTATGTTTTCTTCTGTCTCACATATGTCTGACGAGTATATTCAAGCACATTTACCCATTATGAATGCTTTATGAAAACTTTAACTTTTTTAAAAAATAGATTTTATTAAAGTTTGAAAGAAAATACAAAGGTTACTATTAAATATCCAATATATATATATTATCAAAAATAAAAAACCCTAATCTAAATAAAAACACAAACCAAAAAGAAGAAAAGGAAGAAAAAGGAGAAGAGAAAAATTAAAGAATAGAAAAGAACAAAAAGGGAAAGAGAATTTCTTATTCTTTGTCTGTCAGCTATATGTAGAAAATTGTTTCAAACATCCACTCCAAGATAAGACGCAACAGTTCCACTTTCTATAAACCAATCTTTTCTTGAATCCTCAAACAAAGACACCATAAGTTCATTTTGTTTATCATGCAAAAAGTCTATAAGGAGTTTCCAGTGTTTAGTAAACAGTCATATGGTCATACCTCGGGTTACAGACGCTTTGAGGTTGCGTGTTTTCAGGTTGCGCACCGCGCCGAACCTGGAAGTACCAGAACAGGTTACTTCCAAGGTTTCAGCGCTCGGACATGCACAGAAGCACTAAATCACACTTTGTACATGCGCAGAAGTGCCGAATCGCGACCCGCGCGTGCACAGATGCAGCGCTGCAGGTTGCAAACACTGCGGGTTGCGATCGTGCCTCCCGCATGGATCACGTTCGCAACCCAAGCGTCCACTGTATTGGCAATGATTTTTCTCTGATTAAACACGTCAGCTCCTCCATGTATGAAGACTGTAACTTTTGATGGTGGCTTTGAATGCACCTGGGTGGGAAGGTCATTGAACACCCGGGCATTCGTTTCAACTGTGAGGCCCTCTACCGGTTTGATGGCGTGCATCTTTCGGATGCTGGAAATGATGTTTGGCTGTGCGACATGGTTTCAGGCATGAGAGTATTGGCGGCGAGCGATTGCTCGTGTGGCGGTAGGCATTGGTAAGAAGGGGTTAAGAGGATGTGTGTGGGGGGAGGAACGCCATCACCTCCCCCCAGTGAGCGAAGGGTGGTCCGTTAAAGGACTCCGGGGGGCGTGGCCCTGTCCGAAGCCTATGGAGGTGAGGGCCAAAGGCACGCCCCAGAGCGGTGACCCGGGGAGCTCCTAGTCGACGTGCCTCGGCAGGAGACTCCCCGATATAGTGTTAACCCTTCCCCGTGTCTCCAGCAAATGGGCTGGAGCCGGATAGTCGATAGGACCAATCCCTAAGCCAATGCCTCTCATTCCTGAATTCAATAAAGTTGTGGCCTAATTCGCCCAATTAACCTTAAATTATGGTGTCTTGTGTCTTTATTTACCCTGGTGGGGGGCGGGAACTCGCCACGCAATGATTTTTCTCTGATTAAACATGTCAGCTCCTCCATGTATGAAGACTGTAACTTTTGATGGTGGCTTTGAATGCAGAAACACTAAAAGGAGACTTGCGCAACTTCTTTCATTGTTTTCATGCCACAAGGGTCAGACACTGGTAATCTTTCGTAATATGGTGCCCTGTGTGAGGCCAAAATTTGGCGCCCTCAAATGGATCTTCTCTATTAATGGATCTTCTCCATTTGCACCCTCTTGGCTCAGCACTTGTGCAGGGGAGCTGCCTGCACAGCCCTAAATCTGGCACTGGGATATGCATTTGTTGTTTAGTCGTTTAGTCGTGTCCGACTCTTCATGACCCCATGGACCAGAGCATGCCAGGCACTCCTGTCTTCCACTGCCTCCCGCAGTTTGGTCAAACTCATGCTGGTAGCTTCGAGAACACTGTCCAACCATCTCGTCCTCTGTCGTCCCCTTCTCCTTGTGCCCTCCAGCTTTCCCAACATCAGGGTCTTTTCCAGGGAGTCTTCTCTTCTCATGAGGCAGCCAAAGTATTGGAGCCTCAGCTTCAGGATCTGTCCTTCCAGTGAGCACTCAGGGCTAATTTCCTTCTGAGTGGATAGGTATGATATTCTTGCAGTCCATGGGACTCTCAAGAGTCTCCTCCAGCACCATAATTCAAAAGCATCAATTCTTCAGCGATCAGCCATCTTTATGGTCCAGCTCTCACTTCCATACATTGCTACTGGGAAAACCATAGCTTTAACTATATGGACCTTTGTCATAGGTTGTAGGTATTGCCTAGCAAAATCTGTGAATCTCATCCTAATACAGTGTACAACCTGCCCATATCCTCTTTTCAGTGGATCTAAGTACTGTGGCATGCTGCCCTAAAATTGAGTCAGTTCACATATTCAGCTGCCGGTATTTTAGGGGGTGGGTGGGTGGGTGATGGACATGCATGCCAGGATCAACTTTTTGCTAATCTTTGTCCTCTAGTCAACTGACTTATAAGCATTCTCCTTTTCCTTGTCAAATGTATAGTGTAAATGCAAACACTTAGACCCATCTCTGCTTAAAAAAATATCCTTGCATTATTTTCCATAATCCCTGAAAGGCCAAGAATTGTGTAAGCTGCTTTCTTTCTGCTTCGGGTTTGTACAATGCTTGCCATGCTTGTAGTGTTTAATTAATTTTACACCCATCTCTTGCTCTCTGACAAACTGTTTTTGTCAGTGATAAGAACTGAAATCAATTTTCGGATGTCAAGGGCTGTGCTAAGCATCTAAAAACGCCACCTTATTGATCTGATGGGGAAAAATGAAGGTTGTAAGTGACTTCTCCGGGTTTATCTGTATTTTGATGAAGAGTACAGACAAGCTTCAGTATGTTTCACTAGGTAAGCTGGATCCTTTCTATATCAAATTTCTTTTTTATTACTATTATTATATTGCATCCTAGCACTGAGTCCAGTGTAATGTTGCCGCAGTCATGGAGATTTGCTAGATGTGCACCAACTGCAGCTCCTTGGCTGTTGACATCCATCTGTCTCAAGAGACAATGAAGTGGGTCTCTGGGGGTGAAGAGAAACTACTGTGTAAGCAGCACCAAAGTGGCCTCTCTGGGCAGGGACACCATTTCCTATTTCCTCCCCTCCAGGACTTAGAGGCATACTCAAGAAGGGCATTGAGGAGGACCCAAGGAGCATGATGGGAAGGGGAATTATTATTATTATTTATTATTACTACCCTGCCCATCTGGCTGGGCGGCTTCCAACAAAATATTAAAATACAATAGTCTCACTGGGACACGGGTGGCGCTGTGGGTTAAACCACAGAGCCTAGGACTTGCTGATCAGAAGGTTGGCGGTTCGAATCCCCGCGATGGGGTGAGCTCCCGTTGCTTGGTCCCTACTCTTGCCAACCTAGCAATTTGAAAGCACGTCAAAGTGCAAGTAGATAAATAGGTACCGCTCCAGCAGGAAGGTAAACGGCGTTTCCGTGCACTGCTCCGGTTCGCCAGAAGCGCCTTAGTCATGCTGGCCACATGACCCGGAAGCTGTACACCGGCTCCCTCGGCCAATAAAGCGAGATGAGCACCGCAGCCCCAGAGTCGGTCACGACTGGATCTAATGGTCAGGGGTCCCTTTACCTTTACCTATTAAACATTAAAAGCTTCCCTAAACAGGGCTGCCTTCGGATGTCTTCTAAAAGTCTGGTAGTTGTTTTTCTCTTTGAAATCTGGTAGGAGGGCGTTCCACAGGGTGGGTGTGGCCCTCTGCCTGGTTCCCTGTAACTTGGCTTCTCGCAGCGAGGGAACCGCCAGAAGGCCCTTGGCGCTGGACCTCAGTGTCCAGAATGACGGGGGTGGAGATGCTCCTTCAGATATACTGGACCGAGGCCATTTGGGGCTTTAAAGGTCAGCACCAACACTTATTGTGCTCGGAAATGAATGTTGAGGATGCTCCACTGTATGCAGGGAACACAGTTCTTTGGTTCCAAGTGTTTGATAATTTTGTCCCTGATGTTTGTAGCTTTACCAACCTGGTGCTTGGCAGAGCATGGAGCAACAGTCTTCTTTGCTATTTTCAAATTAATTTCTCAGGCGAAAGGGCAGCCTGTAAAACAGCATGCATGCCCTATCAGTAGATCATGCTAGTTTTGTGGCTAGCAAGCTCTGCCCAAATCTAGGCTTGCAGGATAAGTTTACCAACCAAGGGCCCCTGAGGTCAGTTGCTGGAGTTTGCCACTGGGGCACAGCAGGCTGAAGGTGACATATTAATGAAGATGCCTATACCTATCAATTCTAATTTTTTGCTGAGTTGTCAAAATTATTTCAGGCATAGTGTTCTGCTTTGTTTTCTTCTCTACATTTTAAGCCTACGATGATGATGATGAACTGACAAGGTCAATACAACTGCAAAGGAAGCATATATGATGTTGAAGCATACATTATGTCTGTTTCCTAGATGACTTTGACTAGAGCTGCTTATCATGTAATTTATGTAATTTCTGCCCATGTAATTCTCCAGTTGCTATCAGATGAAGAATCATCCACTACAAAATGTGCCTATTTCCAGGACGATTAATGTTTTGTAAATGGATGTGGCACCCGGTGGATCAACAAAGGACCGATCTGAGAACAATATTTTCCAAAGCAGATTATCATGAATAATACATACTTGATTGATTTGCATATGCTGAAAAGTTATGCAAATCACATTAAGTAAATTGTTTATAAAGTGAGGTGCTTTGGCAGGAGGTAAATAGTCTGTTCAGACATTCCACATAAGCAAAATTATAGAGATAATCATAGGCAAATCAGTCTGCTTTCTCCATAATTAAAATGTAGACTTCACAGCAAGCTTGATTCCTCAAGACTGTTGTGCACTTGATAAGAGAAGCAAGCAAATGAACCTAAACATGCAGGGTTTCGGCTAATGACCAGATACAAATTTATAATTATAATATGTATATTCACTGGCATTTGTTATGATATCATAAATTATCTACTAGGCATCCTGTGTCCCTTTCTCCTGGTTTGTGCTATGGGAATAATTGATCAAAGCAATTTATTTACACCCAGGCTGCTATTTACACCCAGGCTGCTATTTACACCCAGGATGCCTTGACAATATGGACACATTCCTTGAACGTCTGAGCTAGCACTTGCCGATGGGAAAGCTCTTTGCCCTATCTTGAATCAGGCAGGCTCATAAATAAGCCGAGCTATTCCTCCCTGCCACTCCCCTCCCCCAAATAAGGAAGTATCTTAGCTTATTTCTGAGTGTGTCTGAATTTGACCTGCCTCACTTCATATCTCCATAAACCCTGAAGCCCTCCTCTAATCTAGCCACTTATTCAGTGACTAGTAAGTGAGTAGACAGAGACTAGTATGTGAGTAGGAGTTTTGAATCAGACTGGATTAAAATCTGAGCCAAGGAAGAATTGTGGGGATGAGGTATGTGTCATAATGCTCACTTTGCATTTGAGGTGAACATGATTAGCTCCTAAGGTATGTATTTTTGAGCCATGATTCTCCAACTGTAGTTATTGATGGAGCTATTTCCCACCAGTCTTGCTCTGCATATGTGGTCCATCCCCTTGGGACAACAGCTCCCAAATTATTGCTTTAGGAATGCATGGGGCTGTGCAATTTACGATGCCAAATTACATAAAAGGGCACAGTACTATACGACAAGAGATGCGGGTGGCGCTGTGGGTTAAACCACAGAGCCTAGGACTTGCCGATCGGAAGGTCAGCAGTTTGAATCCCCACGATGGGGTGAGCTCCCGTTGCTCCGTCCCTGCTCCTGCCAACCTAGCAGTTCGAAAGCACGTCAAAGTGCAAGTAGATAAATAGGTACCTCTCTGGCGGGAAGGTAAACGGCATTTCCGTGCACTGCTCTGGTTCGCCAGAAGCGGCTTAGTCATGCTGGCCACATGACCCGGAAGCTGTACGCCGGCTCCCTCGGCCAATAAAGCGAGATGAGCGCCACAACCCCAGAGTCAGTCACGACTGAACCTAATGGTTAGGGGTCCCTTTACCTTTACCTTACTATACGACAACCACCAAAAAAAGGCCAAATGGCACAGGACTGTAACAACCATATATTGATATGTATAGGTTACATTAGAAAGGAGAAAATATTATGACAATTGGAAGGGTTACAAAGAGCCATACAGCACGGAACTAAAAAATGCTCTAAACTGTCGCCAACTATCATAACACTTGCAAGGAGTACCTTTCAACATGGCTTACAAAAAAAAAAAAAGTAGAAAAATTGTTATTATTGTATTCAGCGTTTCAAGGCCCTGATTGCAATTTTCACAGCTGTGAGGCCTTCAGGAATGTCTGTCTCCCCAAGAGGTTACTTGATTCCAAGAGGATAATGGCACTGGAAGAATCTAAAATGATGGGCAGGTAAGTTTTCTGGAGAGATAGATAATCCTGGTAACACA